ATAAAAACCCTTCTGACCTAGCCTCGATAGGTTGATAATCAGGACTTGACTGGAGAAAGATTGCAAAAAAAAAAAACACAATTTTTTTTTCTTTTTTTGATAAAGGAAACAAGGGTAAATTGCTTCAATTTGATGAACCTGACCTATACTCAGAGCAGTAGTTACACTAAATACCAACAGAGAGGGAAAGAGTCTTCACATCAAGTATCAATGCTATCCACTCTGCACACAGAGTTGATAGGGACCAACGACTTAGACACTGGCTACCTAAAATGAGGGGGCAATAAAGGCACAAAGTGACTGGCATACAAGGTTTCAAGAGGGAGTTGAGTTTAAGAGTATGGGGGAAAAGTAAAAGTCCCTACTGAATAGCTGTCATCTTGTCTGGGGAAATGAGATGGGGATAAGATTCGTAAAATTCAATAATGAATAATTGTTATCATGACTAATTGAGACTGCCACAATTGTAAGGTAGAAGTTTTGTAACTAAAAAAGAGGAGTGGTTAATCTTACAGTCCAGAAACAGAGGACCCTAGGACCATCAAGAGAGAAGTGTATAAGCAGAATGCGGGACCTTATCCAGAGAAGCAGCAGTGCCAGAGATGGAGGCAGCGATGGGGGCGTGGAGACGGGGAGAGGCTGAGGACTCTAGATTCATGGACTAAGAAGAAAGGGACTAAGAGCTGGTAGCCAGGAGAAGACTTGCAGAATATGCCCTTTGTAGATGTAAAATTATTATATATGCCTGAGTGGTTTTTTTGTTTATTTGTTTGTTTTTAAAAAGCTAACATGGATAGAGAGAAATACTGTTAACTGATGGTACATAGAAGGGATTATAATCATTGTAATGAAATAAAGTGTATGATTTGTTGAATGTAAAACTGATGACATGCCCTGTAAACTTTCACTCAATCTACAATAAAAACCTGAAACAAACAAACAAAAGAAGTTTTGAAAATCTATCTTGAAGTTCAATGCTGCTTGTGATTGGGTCATATCCATACTCTTAAAGGAAGAAATTGAATACCACTATCAGTTAAATATACCTACCAGCCACTGAAACCAATGATGATGAAACTAAGAAATTCATTCTACCAACTTCTTCAGTCTGAAATTGATCAAATATACAATCAAGATGCATTGATAATTACTGGTGATTGGAGTGTAGAAATTGGGGGAGGGGGGAGAGGAAAGACCAGTCATTGGAAAATATGGCTTTGAATCAATGCTGGAAATTGAATTTTGCGAAAAATTTTGTAAGACTTATTCATTGCAAAAAACCTGTTTTCAACAACCAAAATGGTAAACTAAACATCTTGACATCACCAGGCAGAATACACAATAATCAAGATGGAGAAGCTCAATCTCATTAACCAAAACAAAACTGTAGAAGACCATAAATTGCTCATATGCAAGTTCATGTTGAAGCTTATGAAAATGAAAACCATTCCATAAAAGCCCAAATATGACCTAGACAATCTCCCACCTGAGTTTAGAGACCATCTCAAAAGTAGATTTGATGTCTTAGACACCAGAAAAGTTGTGGGATAGCATCAAGAATATCAAACAGGAAGAAAGCAAAAGGCATTAAAAAGACAGGGGGAAAAAAAAATCCCAAAGTGAATGTCAAAAGCGATTCCAAAACCTGCTCTTGAGTATAGAGAAGCTAATGTGAATGGAAGAAATGAGGAAGTAAAAGCTAAACAAAAAATTTCAAAGTGCATCTCAAGAAGACAAAGTCAAATATTATAATGAAATGCGTAAACACCTGGAGTTAGAAAACCAAAATGGAAGAACACACTTAGCATTTCTCAAGCTGAAAGAACTGAAGAAAAATTCAAGCCTCGGGTTGCAATATTGAAGGATTCTATGGGTAAAATATTGAATTAAGAGAAGATGGAAGGCACAGATAGATAGAGTCACTGTACCAAAAAGAAAGAGTCTATGTTCAACCATCTCAAGAGGTAGCATATGATGGTACTGAGGGCATTGGCACAAATCAAGTCTCCAGGAATTGACAGAATACCAATTAGAATGTTTTAGCAAACTGGAGGTGCTCACTCATTTATGTCAAGAAAGACTCATAGTTGTGTCCGTTCCAAAGAAAGGGGACCCAACAGAATGCAGAAATCACCAAAAAAATCCCATTAATATGACATACAAGTAAAATTTTACGGAAGATAATCTAAAAACTGATTGTAGCAGTACATCAACAAGGATCTGCCAGAAATTGAAGCGGGATTCAGAAGAGGATGTGTAACAAGCAATATCACTGCTGACATCAGATGGACTTTGGCTGGAATTAGAGAATACCAGAAAGATGTTTACTTGTGCTTTATTGACTATGCAAAGGCATTCAACTTTTCGGATCATAACAAACTGTGGATAGCATTGCAAAGAATGGATATTCCAAAACACTTAATTATGCTCACGAGAAACCTGTACGTAACCAAGAGGCAGTCAAAGAAATACTGAATGATTTAGAACCAGGTTTGTATCCTTTCATTATACTTACTCAATCTGTACGCTGAACAAATAATCAGAAAAACTGCATTCGATGAAGAATGTGGCATCAGGATTGGAGTAAGAGTCTTTAACAACCTAAAATATATACATGACACAACCTTGCTTGATGGAAGCAAAGAGGACTTGAAATACTCACTGATGGAGATCGAAGACCACAGTCTTCAATTAGGATTGTAGCTCAATGTAAAGGAAACAAAAATTCTTTCAACAAGACCAATAAATAATATCATGATGAATGAAGAAAATATTGAAGTTGTCAAAGACTCCAACTTGCTTAGACCCACAATCAGTGCTCATGGAAGAAGCAGTCAAGCACATGCAAATTAAACAACATATTGCATTAGGCAAATCTGTTGCAAAAGACCTCTTTAAAATGTTCAAGAACAAATATTTTGGTTTGAGGACTAAGGTGCACCTGACCTAAGCCAGGGTATTTTCAACAGCCTCATATGTATGTGAAAGTTGGACAATGAATACGGAAGACTTAGAAGAATTGATACATTTAAATTATGGCGTTGGTGAAGAATATTGAAAGTACCATGAACTGCCAGATGAACAAACAAATGTGTCTCGGAAGGACAGTCAGAACATTCCTTAGAAGTGAGGATGGCAACACTTCAGTCCCTGGAAAAGGACATTGTGCTTGGAAAAATGGAGGTCAGCGAAAAAGAAGAAGACTCCAACAAGATGGACTGACACAGTGACAGCAACAATTGACTTCAGCATAATAATCGTAAGGATGGTGCTGGACCGGACAGTGTTTCATCTGTTGTGCATAGGGTTGCTATGAGTGAGAACTGACTCAAAAGCACTTGAATAAGAACAATATAAGGGTATACTGCCTACTCAATACTCACTACCAACCCATCAATTCCAACTCATAGTGACCCTATATAGAGTTTCCAAGACTGTAAATCTTTATAGGAGTAGACAGTCTCCTCTTACTCCCTCAGCGTGGCTGGTGGCTATGAACTGTCAACTTTGGTTCACTGTTAGCAGCCCAATGCTTACTCCACAGTGCCACATTGTCATAAAGCCACTATGACTAGGTGTCATAGAAAACAAGCTCGTGGACCCCCAGATGATAGTACCCCCTTATTTTCTTGCTGAGATGTGCATGAAGAGGATATGGACTTGTGTGGCATACTTTCGTGGTGGGGAGTTCAATTCCCTCTATGTAGACTACAAGTCACCCTTTTTCATTCCACAGGAATTCAAGTGACAAATTTTTATAGGGGTAGCTCAGCTTTTATTTTGAACATCATATTTAGCAAAAGGCAACTTAGAAGAAAGAAAGGAAAAAAAGGCCAGGGGGCACCTGGATATCCTGGTTCATATGAATAGTTAGAAATGATTAAAAATTGAAAATAAGAACTGACAGGAAATCTCTACGCAGCAAAATGCAACAGTATGTCACCAAGTGAGAAGTGATCAGCGAACTCCTTTTCATTAATCTTAATTAATCTACACTACTGTTGCCATCTACTTGTCCACTGACTCTAACTAGTAAGTGACTATGGACTTAGCTTCCCAGTCTAAAGAGACTGGCCATGCCACATTTCATCATTGCGTTGACCATCTCCATTATAAAGAGTACAAGCGATGAGTGACAGTAAATGTCAGCAATTGCAACTGAGAACTCTATCAGGAGACTTCTATGAAATCAGTTCGTCAGTCTTTCAACCTTAAAATGTACACAACAACCCAGGGTAGTAGACACTGGTGTGCCACCCAGATAACCCTCTTAACAGCCCATCCCTGGGTTGTGGGAATATCAGTTGCTGAGGAGTCACAGCTGTGACTCCCCCTACAAGAAGTTGTTCTCCACCCCAGGGAGCTGCCTCATAGAAGGTGACACCTCCATGAAACTGATGCAGGAGCACAATGACAAAATGGATTCAGACTCAGATGCAGTTAGGCAAAGACAGCAAAAGGAGGAGGTGGGGAATAGGCCCACAGTAGTAGGTACCTTTGGCCTTGATGGTCAAATGTTAAGAATCGATAAAGTAGGATGCTAATACATGAGCCTTCTTCAAATTATTCTTTATTCTTGCCTGCATGTTTGAAAGATATAGTAGTAAATTAAAATAAAATAAGAAACAATGGTATCAACTATAAAGGCTAGCTGAGCATCTTTGTGCTAATTTCACCCCTTTTCCTATCTCCAGGCAGGGTACATACAGTTAGGGGAAATTGAGTTCTAGGCCAGACACTGTGCTAAATAAGCACTTTCTATGTCTTAAAACACGAATGCACTTAAATGGTAGGTAGCACTCTATAGTCTTTCCAGGATTTTTCTAAAGATCTCACATTGGGACCAGGCTCCAATGTTTTCTACCACTCACAGTCAGACAGCTCATTAGATTAGGTTCTTGCTACAACATAATTCTGTTTCCTCATTGTGGTGTTTAAATCAAGTCACAGCCTTTTCTGAGTCCGCATTGAGAATTTAGAGAACTTCTTCCCAAGCTTACCTGAGCTACCCAAGATGCACATGATCTGTCCACTCTCGATGTACAAGGAGACGTCTTTGAGGATCTGCCTGTTCCAACGTTGCCGGCAAGATGTGAGGTCCCACCAGGGTCCAACATGATCGCTACAAGGGAAATGCCACAGGTAAAGGTAGCGAGGGTTCCTGGAGAGACCTCAGCAGTGCTCTCAGCTTGCCTGCCCCACTTCTCCCTGGACAAGTTCCTAAATGTGTTTTAGCCTCAGTGTCCTCATGGGTAAAGCACAATGAGCCCAGGAGTGGCTGACAGCACTTTTCTGTGGACTTCTGTCACTCTGCCCACTTACAGTTGTTCTGAAGTCACTTCTCTGAGAGCCAACAAACAAGACACTGCTTCTCCCTGAGGCTGACCCTGCATTCTTTCCCTCATCCTTCATTACCCCTTGTGTGCCCAGCACTCCGCTCCAGGCCCACAGACAGGAGGAGGCAGGGGCACAAGGTAGAATGTTACCTCACATCTTTTTGGGTTTTGTTTTGTATTATGGTAAAAGATACACACAAAAACACACACCAATTTAACAATTTCTGCATGTATCAAAAAAAGTAACTTCTAGGCCCTCACTTGGTGGAAGGAGGGCCCTTTCAGTGTTGCCCCTCATTTCCCAGCGGGAGCCCTTCCCCACTTCTCTTCACCCAACCCACTTAAGGAGGAGCCCCAAGCCTCCAGGCATGCCCCCCATTATGGATAAAACCAGCAGAGTGAGTGAGTGGGCAAGAGGTCCATGCATGTCCGTGACCACAGCCCAAAGTGTGGGCTTCAAGCTCCCAGCGGGGGAGTTAAAAAGACCCAGGCACAGCCTTACCTGACGCTGTAGGAGGCATGGAGAATGCTCAGGCTGTGTCGGGGCTGTGAAGCAGCTGCAGGCACCTCCACTGGGGCCCCCTGGGAGCTGCTGTTTGCTTGGAGTCCCAAGGACCCCGTGGGGGTCCACAATGAGAGCTCACTCATGGTCAACAGAGCAAGCTAGGTGGCTTCTCTGCTGACCTGACTCCCTAGGAGCTCCTTCCACAGAGGATTCCTGCCAGCTGCCAGCATGGAACTGGGGTTAGGCCACAGATACCATTATCTGATGTACTTTAGCCAGAGTTCTTATCAGGACTGCAAGCAGAATACACAGCGTGTGTTTGTGGGAAGGCTTGCCAGAGAGGCTTCCTGGGAGAGGCAGAAGGTGGCACACACAAAGAGAGTCAGAAGTTGGCTGCTCTAGGAAGGAGAGAGAAAGCTCCGGTACCATCAGGCAGCAGCCAGCTTCTCGGGGAGCTGCCACAAAGGGGCAGGCACTACTGGGCCCCATGGCTGAGACAGACCCAGCCAAGCGTGGGCTGTGGAATGGGACTGCTCCCCAGGATGCCTCGGTGAGTGATGGGCTCCCCTCAGCCCTGGAGGCTGGGAAGAAATCCTTCCCTCTGGGTCTTTCTGTCCTAACTCATCCCCAGGACATCCTGGGAGCGAAAGGGCTGAGGAGAGCAGGCTGCAGGCTGGGACCTCTGAAGTCACCTTCTACAAGGAACCAATGCTCTGGTTTGTGATTTTGGCTGATTCAGCGCTATCTAAATGATACTGGATGACAGAAATGTGGTTGCAAATATCACAAACTCTGCTTGTGTCTGCTTTGGTCATGGGACTGTCAGGCTCAGAATCCCAGTGGCAATAAAGTGATGAGTTGTTGTTGTTATTGTTGTGGTTGTTAAGTGATGTTGAGTTGGTTTCGAAGGAGCAGTTGGTGGGTTTGAACTGCCAACCTTGTGGTTCGCAGCCCAGTGCTAATCACAGTGCCACACCAGAAAGTGATGAGGCAGATGACAAATGCTTTTAGTGGGACAATCAGAATTTATGCTCCAAATAAGATCTGGGAGAGGACTGGAAAGAAAACATGTTTCTTCCTTACTTTTTCCTGAGAATTGCCTTGGACTGAAATTGAGTTGTGAGTGGGATTTGAAGACAGAGAAGAACGACTATCTACACTCCCCCACACCCTCTCTCTGTCTTTGCCTGTTCTGGGAAGGAGAAGGGAAAGAAAGACATGAATGACCAAAGACTTCACACCAACAGGTGTGAAGTCACAGATCACCTGAGCTGGCTTGAATCACTAGGGCTTGACCTCAGCAGGGCCCAGGGAGTCCTCCACCTTTCAGTTCTGTAGCCATAGGAAATGACCTTCTCTGCTGTCTGGTCAGCCTCCGCAGGAATGATTCCTGCTAGCTTCAAAAGCAATGTCTATAGGATATAAAGTCAATGTTGACCTTAAGGATACTTACTGCCTAGAAATTCTGGCAATTCAATAACCACAGCATGGAAGGCAAAGATCTGCCCAAATCCAATACCCAGGAAAATGGGTTGTTGTTGTTGTTGTTAAGTGCCGTCGAGTCAAGTCCAACCCATAGCAACCCTGTGTAGGGTTTCCAAGGAGCAGCTGGTGAGCTTGAACCACTGATGTTGCAGTTCAAATGACTTGGCAGTCTGATGCATTAGCCCACAGTGCCATGGGTAGAGCCTGCCATTTTCTTTTTTCTCTTCTCTAATATTAGAGGTGTCAAGTGATGGTCTGCCCCTAATATTTGTGGGGCATGAAACAAGAGGGTGGGGCCACATATCATGTCTAGATATTTGAAAGTTGTATATCAAGCTAGAAGTTCTGTTATGATGCTGTAAGATAGGGACTGAACTGTACACCACAAGATTAGTGGTTCAAACCCACCAGCTGCTCTTTGAAAACCCTATACAGGGTCGCTATGAATCAGAATTAACTCAATGGTGCTTAACAACAACAAATCAAGCTAAAAGTTGTTTAATAAAATAATTTCTGTTTTCTTACTTTGACTTACCTTCCCAAAAATCTGGAAGTTGTTGTTAGGTGCTGTAGGGTTGATTCTGACCCAAACAATCCTATGTGACAAAGTAGAACTGCCCCATAGGGTGGAGTCCTGGTGTGGCACTGTAGGTTAAGCACTAGACCAAATGTCGGTTTGAACTGCAAGATCAGCAGTTCAAACTCACCAGCCGCTCCTCAGTAAGCCTATACAGGGTCACTATGAGTGGGAACCAACTCAATGGCGCTCATCAACAACAACAACAATCTTTATAGAAACAGATTTCCAGGTCTTTCTCCTACAGAGCTTCTGGGTGGGTTCAAACTACCATCATTTGAGTTAGCAGCAGGTGTTTAACTGCTGCACCACCAACAACCTGGAAGTCCAGGTTTACATTTAGAAATCCTGGGACTCTTTGGAGTGGCATTAGGACCCCTGGTGGAACAGCAGGCAAGTGCTTGGCTATAACTGAAAGGTCAACAGTTCAAACCCACCAGCTGATCAATGGGAGAACGATATGCTAGTCAGCGTCTGTAAAGATTTCGGCCTTGGAAACCATATAGACTAATTCTATTCTGTCCTATAGGGTCATTGTTAGTTGGAATGACCTCAATGGCAATGGGCTTGCTTTTGGTTTTCTTGGAGTGGCACATTAGAGTGCATGGGGAGGTCGCTTCCTGCTCATGCTTACAACCTTATCTGCCCACCCAGTTCCATCCCACCCCATTCTGCCCTCCAAGATTCTATACCCTCTACAAACAGTTGGCCCTCTGGCCTAGGGTACCTGGTCAGATGGAACTGACAGTCCTCAGGAAGAGGTCCATGCAGGCCCTGGGCATGAACTTGGGGCAGTATGAACAGGAGATTCTGGAGTGGTGGATGTCCTTGGCCCATGAGCTCTCTGGCCATTAGAGGACAAGAGCTCCTCAGAGAGAAGAAGAGACTACTGACCACTGCTCTATCACTTAGTAGCTGTGTGACCTTGAGCAAGTTATTTAACTACTCTGAGCTTCATAAGGAAAAAAGGGATAATGGTAATGCTTATGTAATTAGGATTGACCCCCCTCAACCACAACCTACCTGACCTCCACCAAAACCAGTTGCGAGGACTCAGGGACACCCCAGTGCTCTCTGGAGCACTGGTTATTGATCTTAAAACAAGGAAGGTCTGTGCTGCCTGAGTTTCCTTCTATGATTCTGACTCAGGAATTTGATCAGAAGTTAATACAAGGAGAAATTACAATGTAGCCCAGCAGGAGCTGAGCTGGTTACCTACAAATAAAGCAGCTTTTGCTTTTTTGGGTGTTACCTGTCAGAAAATCGAGTGATGTTCTGACAGTCATGCTGATTAAGATGTCAGCCGAATAGATATTTAAGTATTTGAAAAATACAGAGAATTTGTCAAAACCTCAGGAAGAATCTAACAAATCCTTTCTGGGAGCCAAGGAAAATATTTCAGACTGGAGGCGGTACCCAACCCAGGTTTTCTTCTCTGAAAGTTGAATCGCCTGTTCAGCTTCAGGAAAGCACAACCTTGGGGACGGGGCTGGCCCACACAGCCCACTTAGCCACAGTGGAGGGAGCCTGGGATCCAAGAGTCTGTCACTTCACATTCTTTTTCTCTCAGTCTTTCCTTGGCCCTTCCACATATTGCTCCAGAACCCAAAATGTCCATCCTTTCATCCTCAGCAGTTCCCCCATCCCTAAATCTATGCTGGGAGCTTTGGGCCAGTAAATAATGTCTGAACTAACTCATTATCTTTAAACAAACACACAAGAAAAATTGCTGGGGGTTTTGTTTGTTTTGAGATTCCAATTTGTGGCAACCCCATGTGTCTCTGAGTAGTGGGAGTCTCTGTGTCTTACAGATGGTTAAGCACTCAGTTGCTAACCAGAGGAAGATTGATGGCCTCCAATATAGAGGTCTCCAAGGAGTCCTGGTGTGGCCCTGTGGGTTAATGCGCCAGACTGCACAGCCGTTTGTTTGAACTGCAAAGTTGGCGCTTCAAACTCACCAGCTGCTCCTCAGAAACCCTATACAGGGTTACTATGGGTCGGAACTGACTCGATGGCACTTAACAACAATGACAAGGAATACTGGTGCTACAGATGTTGAAAGGAGACAAGGGCCTTTCTCCAAAGTTGGTGCTTTGAATTCGGGCTCCTAGCCTCCTAAGTGGTGAGAGAACACACTTCTGTTTGTGAAAGTCATCCACTTGAGGTATTTCTGTTATCACAGCATTAGAGAACGAAGCCACTGTCAGAAAGGAGAGACCTGGCCTTGTCTATGCTACTATTACCTCAAAGCCCTAGGGTCCACCTGCACTTCATCCACGCTGCTTCATCCTTCTCCTCTTCCTTCTTCCTCCTGTGGCCTCAGCAGCTTCTAGAGGAGCCCCTCACCTGTTACATCTCCCAGCAGGTCCTCCAGGACAGCTTGTTCTCCTCGGAGAGTGACAACAGCCTGTACTTTACCTACAGTGGCCAGTCCAACACCCTGGAGGTTCAAGATCTCAGCTACCAGGTAGGGTCATACCTGATTTACAGTGGGTGTAAGGGGAAAACCAAACAGCGCCCCAAGTCCAAGGGGAGAGTGCCACCTCTCTGAAGGTCTGCTGCCTCTGCATGGGAGGTGTCCAGCCCAAGCTGACCCTTCACAAGCTGCCTTCGCTCATCAGCTACACATATTGTTGCTGGAAGTTGAGAGACAACAAAAGATAATGGGATCCTTGTTAAAATGTAATGCCAACCGTGTGAACCTATGTGGAAAAAACTAGAATTATTTTTCAGCTTTATATCTTGGAATATTTTCGGGAAAAATACAAAAATAGTACAGGTTCCCACATACCTTGTCCACTCATCCCCTCCCCACTACATTTATGCCAAAGCTAACATCATGTAGAGCACAGTACAATGATCAAAACTAAGACATTTACAATGATACTAGCTTAGTTAACTAAGCTATAGACTTTATTTAGATTTCACCAGCTTTTCTGTCATTAAAAAAAAAATTTGCATAATGTACTGACCCTGAAGCTAACAACATATCCAGAGCACAAGGACCACTAGTCTTGTAAAAGGCTCCTAGAAATCTCCTGGTAGGATTCAAAGATGTGTCTTCCATGGTGAACCTCAGAGAAATGAATCTGGCTTCCATGGGGTGTGAGTTAGGAGAAGCTGATGAACTACACAATAGTTTTTTGCAGCTTTGCCATTTAATACCTATGTACTTAAGCTAGTTACTCAAGTCCTCTGAACTTCACTGTAAAACAGGAATTATTGCCTAGGTGTGGTGCCACAGGATAAGCAAGGTCAATGTGAACCTCAAGGTCAGCAGTTCAAACCCACCAACCACTCCTCAGAACCGCCATACAATGTCGGTTTGAGTTGGAACTGATTCGATGGCACTTAACAACAACGATGTTAACAGGTTTGCAATGAGGATTAAATGATATACTGGATAAGATGCAATTCACAAACTCCTTATAAATAATAAGCATTCAAGAAGCTATTAGTAGAACAAACAAGATAGCAGATCAGGTAGAAGTGCATTATGAACTCCGTCAGCAACAACACAGAATACAGAACCAAGCAGGCTCAGGGGATGGTCCCAGAACTCTGAACCACATATAAAGGAATATTTAGAAGGCTGAAAGGCTTACAGCTAGAGTAATTTGTAGCAGAAGCAAGAAATCCATTGCTTTCTAATTCAAGATGCTCAGCTGCTCCAGGAGCCGCCATCTTGGGTGAGACCAACAGGGGAAGGATCAGAGCAGCCAAAGATGCCTGACAGAACCGCAGAGATAAAGGTGTGGACATTCTTTTCTTTTGATATCTGTTCATTGGTCCCTTGCTGTCTGAGCACCTCCATTCTGGTGACTAAATGGGGTGACTGAGTAGTGGACACCTCAGCCCCACCCTCAGAGGGTTCTAATACGCATGCGCAAAGATCTCCTTGAAATTTAAAGAGACAGTTTCCACTTAAAACCAAATAGCCACAGCTGGCCCTGAACTGTTTATAACTAGAAAAAGGCCTGAATGGGGATTGTGGAGTGGGACAAGCAGACTAAAAAGGAAATAGGTCAAAAATTATATCCTAAGTTACGTCAAAATGACCAACAGTGGCATCTTGAAATTTCTCAAAAAGAAGAATAAAAAGGGAAGCCCATTCCTGATCACATCTACCTGGAGGCAATCAGAAAGCATAAAAAATACCAAAATACACACCCGTCTAAGTATTAAGGCCACAGACAACTCCTGAATATGACCAAAAAACAGAAACAGATGACCATATTTGCACATGTCCAGAAACGAGATAAAGTGACTGAGGCAAATGAACCGGAAAAGTAGACCTACACTCCATACTGGAAAATGGGCAGGCTTTGGAAATGGCGGAGAAGGAATTCAGAAAAATGATTATAAAATGTATCAAAACACTATATAACGGAGTTGAGAAAAATAAGGAAGAAGTCAGGAAAGCACTACAGGAACAATCAAATAAGATAGATACAGCATTAGAAACTATTCAAAACCTACAGAAAATGGTTCAAACGATTAATAATAGACTATCAGAAATGGACAATACACTGAAAGGGCAAAGGAGTAGAATTGAAGAGATAGAAACCAGAACTAATGAGCTAGAAGATAAATCTCTCAACACTACTAAGATAGAAGAGCAAAAAATGTTAAAAAATATCTGAAGAAGGCCTAAGATTCATGTTGGACAACGTGAGAAGGAATCACTTCAGAATTATTGGCGTTCTGGAACAGGAACAATCACACAAGTCCACAGAGGAGATAGTTGTAGAGCTTCTGGAAGAAAATTTTCCTAACATCCTAAAAAGTGAAAAGATAAGTATTCAAGAAGCTCAACAAACCCCGGAAAGTATAGACCCTAAAAGACAATCACCAAGACATATAATAATCAAGCTCTCCAAAATCAAAGATAAAGACAGCATCTTGAAAGCAGTTAGGGAAAAGAGAAATATAACATACAAAGGCAAGCAAATAAGATTAAGCTTGGATTTCTCAACAGAAACCATGCAAGCAAGAAGGTAATGGGGAGACAAA